GTACGCTTTCAATGACTCACGAACGAGGTCGGTTAAAATTTTCAGAATTACTTAACTTACTTCGGACAACGACTTTATAAAATTGACAGTCAATAACATCATAGACTAGACGTCGTGATCTTCGAGAGGGACAAAGCGTTATGCAGAATTATAATTTTATGAAATCTACACGTCATGGCGTTACTCCTATAAACCATTAATGAACTCTATCGTATATTAACTTTCAACCAATAACGAGTTGACGAGATTGCAGGCAATCAGCGAAAGCCATGCAGTGTAGCAACGACGTGTGAAAGTTTCAATACGATGGTGTCGCATTACGACGTGAAAATAAGTGTACTGTATTTTAGTTCTCGGTTCAGTACACAGTGGACTTACCGTGTGAATAAGCACACTGTACAATCTGTACACCAGTCAGATATCGAGGCTGAGAAAAGAATTTGTAGAATGTCGACTCGAAAGGAACAGATGGTTTCGATACTTTTTATACTCTGACATCCATTCGACAGATTCAAACATACAGTTGTTGAAAGCAAATGCCTTATGACAATATGAACCATTGTCGCTGTGGCAGCATTTCTGCAAGTAACACAGAACATATGAAACACTGTGAAACTGCAGGCATACAAAACAATGCCATAAGAGCTCTGCAACACATCGAATAAACAAATTCATTTATCTATCCGTTTTCAACATCCGAATTTCCTTTTGGGAAGCGGGGTCAGCGCTCAGCAATTAACGCCACTATCGCTGATGTTGAACCATGAAATCAATCTCAGGTGATAAGTTCAGAAATCAGGCACAGACGTCCCTGATGCACTTGTGCCAAGTCTTTTCAGGCGTCCTCGAGGAGCAACTGTCTTTGTCTCCTTTCTGGCTGCATTCTGGAAGACACGGCGAAACATTTCAATTTTGAAAAGTAGTAGTTCGATCCTTATGGACTGTTCAACCAACGAGCTGCAGATTTTGCCGAAACGCCTTACTCCCATGATTCATTTCAAAAATCCCATCTTGGCCACTTGAGTTCGCGACTCACTTTTTTTGTTCGGTACCCAACTTTCATGACTGCGTGTGAAGGTGGAAAAACAATCGATCTGAACATGGCGAGTGAAGATTTACCTATGCCTTAGGGGACAATTGTCTGGTACAGTTCAGGAATAAATCACTGCACTTGTCAGGCCGTCACTCAGGTTCCTCCTAGCATCCTCCACTACTCGTAATGTGATCCGGGCACATTTAATCTATTCCACCTGTCTTTGTGTGGCCTTAAAAATATAAAAAATTTAAAAAACGTATTGATCAGGGGATCAGGATATCACAGCCGGTTCTGATTTAGTTTATCCGCATTGCGACCAAACAAAATGAAAGATTTTTTTGCACTTAATTCCAGCGTTTACTTCTTTGTCTACATCTTCACTGTTTGATCGATGGCAGGAGGAAACGAACAAACTAAGAAATATGGAACAAAATAGATGAAACAGACTGAGGAAAAAGTCGATGGTACATGTCGGTCGATTGTTAGGCAGGTACAGTAACTGATTTTCCGTTTCCTCTGTAATCGCTTTGGTGCAATCTGCATATTGGACGACTCGATTTAACAGTTCAGCTTAAAGTACATTCTTGTACATTCCTGTGCACTTACTCTGCTCCAATTTATCGTCCCTAGCTAAATTATCGAGCTTTTCTTTGTCGTAAAATGTTTGATACCGTCACCCACATTCGTCAGCAGATGATTTGCAGGTTGCATTATTCCCACGAAGCACTACAAAACTTTCCACAGAGACTTTCAGAAAGAGGTCAAAAAACGGGAATCTTACGCGATGCTCGATATCGAAGAAGGCCTGGTCGTCGTGCAAATTGGCTTTTGCTCAATTTAAAACAGTACTGCTATTTATTCGCTGTGTGCAACCATTAACCCTGATAATCATATGCACACATGCTGAAAAATGGAGTTCTTTCGTGACTCCATTGAAGCAGTAAACTTTCAAACTTTCATGCACCACCAGACCTATGAAATGAACCGTGCCACATATGAAGCCTGTCACTGAAACAAAAGGGAAGCAATAACCCAACGCT